CTTTTATATATATCATTCATATCCTCTTTAAATTTTAGAAATTTTGCTTAATGTTAAAATTATATATACATTTGAATGCAACAATGTAGATTAAATTAACATACATGGATTCATGCATCATAGTCCCAATGAGTTCATACGGTTTCTCGAAGATAGTTTAACTGAATTTAATAATGTGAGATTTTAAATAGTTATTATATTTTCAGACAAATGAATAGTCATTGAAACACTTTTTGCTTAAATTCAGTGTATTTCATTCTCGAAACATATTTTCAATTTCAAATCGCTTTTTTTATGAAGAAATGTTATTTATTCTTCTAAACCATAAATAAGTATAGATTATTTAAATGAGATAAAGATTAAATAGTTGCATAGGAAGTTATACTATCTCATGTGTATAAAAATCCAAGGTACAACAGGCTTTCTTAAAATCAAGATGGTACCTTTTAAAATATAAACAAAAGGGCATGTTTTATGTTATGTTTCTATGATTTTAGACTAAGTAATTTTCATATAAAATTTTTAAAAATATAGTTCAAAATATGAGTGTTTGCATGTACTAAGTTATTCATGAGACTAAAATGATAACAGGATAATTGGATTTTAAAAGATTTGATGAACTTGCTCTTTGGAAATGATTTCATTAAATAGACAGTTTCAGCATTTATTTTCTTGGGCTGATTTAATTTTATTTTAGTTTCTTAATTATTTTATGTCTCTGTCAAGTAATTAGATGTCATTCTATATGTTATATACATTTGATTAAAGGTGGAAAATTCTGTATTCAATTTCACTTCTCACATTTACTAATTTCCTTCGTTGCTTATTAACTTACACAAAGATATCATAGCTTGGTTTCTGTCTTTACAATTTTGAGTTTTCTGTGTTAGATGACATTAAAAATGATTTTTCTGTACAACTTTACATTTTTGCTGGAATTTATGACACTATTCTCTGACAAGTAATGATTAGAATTATCAAAGTAAAATAAAACAGTTTTCTACAAGAGAACTCGCTCTTCATTTAATTTTTATTTTATGTATCATGCACAACCTTGGTAACAAAAAACATAAAAGACAGTTATTTTCCCTAGCAGTACAGTGCAGGGCTAGAACAAAAAGTATTGATAGTTCGGAGGATTGTCATTATTACGAATCTTTCAACAGGGATCATCAATTCTCTTTCTTGAATAACAGAATTCATTAGAGTCGTTATATATTCATATATATATGATCTCTCTATATACTATATAAACACTAAGTACGACAATGGACAAACTGCTATAGCTGCGTAGCTGTGCATTGGGAGAGGGGTTCTGCGGTCTTCGTTTTCTCCAGCCAATAAGGTCTTCACGCGAGGTTCAAGTACTTTTCATTTCTATCTGTGATAGAAATTACTATTGATGTAGTTTCCGCCTCTTTATAATTTTAATGTTTGTAATATTAAATAGAGTATTTGGAGGAGAATTGAGTGTATGACAACATATAATCTTGGATCTGAAAGTAAAATCTTTCACATATAAAGGAAGTAAATGTAAGCACAAAAGTTCGGACTTTAAAAGGTGGTGATTCACTCAACGCGTCAAGTTGTAATTGATTTTTCTCACAAATACTGAACTAAATTCTCTGTGCTTGATTTGATGAGTGCAATGTAGAAACCTTATGCATCATGAACTATAATATTTATATTCTACTTAGGGTAATTATGATGTCAATATAATCATTTATTCCATAAATTTATATCATTTATATCTATATTTACTTATACTATTGTATTATTCATCATTTACAGTGTTTATTAAATTGAAAGAAAGAAATTTATATCGACCATGGTAAGATTACGTCAATAGATTAATAAATACAATTTATTAATGCTTTAATATGAGACATACATTGATACTCTTTCATAATGAACTGTCTTAAAAATATTTTTAAAAATATTTCTTGTAAATTTTAAATATTTTCTTCCCTATTTTGACAATTTTTCTTAAGTAGCAATTTGAAGCGACTATTTTTCTTCTAGGGCACTATCAAATAAGCAAAATTAAAAATTTACATAGAATGTTAAGTAATCAGTCTAGTTTTGTTACCTAAATAAAATTTTGATTTGAAATTTTTAAATCGTTTTCGGTTCATCGATCCCTATTATTAATTTGTCGAGAACATTAATTCAGTATATAGTAATTTCTTAAGTCTTCTTTTAAAATGGCGAAATAGTTAATTAGTAGTATTTTGTGAAAATTCTCCAAGTATTCAGCCAGTGAGTTAATTTTATTAGACCCTCTTCAATCTGCCATATATTTTACGTTCCGCTAATATAGTTCTTTAATATTACGTTATGTCTGTGTGCTTGAAATTATTTGTGTATTCATATATTCATATTTATGAGATGATTACATTTAATAATTTTCTTTCATCAATGAAAAATGTACTAAAACACGATTGATTATTGATATCATTTAACTTTAGGTATTTTGAAACAATGTACCTATTAAATGATCCTGTATATTCATTTTAAATGTATGATTAAACTTTTAAATTCCTTAGCTAATAATGAAATGTACAAAGATCATCTATAAAGTGAATTTTATTTTGTTACCCCATATATAATGGATTGCAGGATGTCCATCTTCATGTGAGAATAATTTAAAATTTTGTATAAACTCCAAATTTTTGTTTTAGTAAATAGAAATGCTTAAAAATTCAAATTTGAGAATGCGCAAATGCGGCTCAATGGTTTTAAATTTAAGATATTTCACCTTTTCTTCTTATATAAATATTAAAATAGTCTTTAAATCTAAATTACATCATTTTAATTTTTTCAATATTATGTACTTGGTCTCGTATGAAAAAGATTTTCCATCTAGTTGTAATAATTTTAATTCCCCCTGATGTACAGCGAGAGCCATCAGCTAGTGATTTCTATAAAGTCTATATTGTTAATTTTTAATAATATATGTATATTCTTTCATAATTTTCAGTATATTATGTTGTCTCTCTTTTAATTTCATGTTATCAGTTAGTTATGAGTCAGCTACAATACTCTCAAAGATATACATACCTTTTACATACTAGGTGAAGTATTGGTAACATTTAGTGTATCCAGTTTATTTTAATGTTTTCTTAATAAAAAGAGTGGGAAATAGGAAAAGACATGGCATATGGCTTGAGATACATTTCTTTGACAAAACATTTAATAGAACAGTGTGAAACTTGACTTCTTTAAGGCCTTACAAATAGGAAGAAGGTAATGTGATTAAAACAAACATATTTTGTTAAGTTATTTTATATTAATTTGCATAATATGAGAATACTTACAGTGCATGTAAAGATCTATACAAAATGCTAACTTTATTAATGTGATACTTTTCCAGCTACTTACCTTGTGCTAGTTTGAATTGAAGCCTTCTTTGGATGTTTAATATTTGGAATTAATTTCTATCAAATGGATATAAAGATAAACTAATTATTATTAAATGAGGAACAAATAAGTGAATAAACATGAAGATTAAAGAATAATCTAAAGGAAAAATAATATGTTGACCACGACGAAACACTCTAATGCACCAAAGTACTGGCGCAGCAGATCAAATTCTTAAGCAAGTGTGAGAAGGGAAAATAAATACCTCTCCTCACTCATTGTGCAGTAAAATTAATTCGTCATTAATTAATTTTTACAAAG